GTCTTTCCAAAGACTTTTTTAGCACTGAACTCCACGTATTGAATCCTCAAATTGCTTTCATTTTCCTTCACAAGTGATGGCACAATAAGTCATGTTAACACCACTTCAAAGATGGGACTCCTGTTTTTTAACCTGCTTGCACTTGCCAACAGTGATGACCTCGTTAGCAATGCAACATAGAATTCTAAGTAGACCTGGAAGATACAAGCAGCTCCTTAAGTTAACTTCTATGGTAGCCTGAAGTAAATAGTCTGTTGAAGATAAGAAGTTAGGACATTAAATTGACCACTGCTGTACAATCTTACGATACAAAAGAGAACAAAAAGAACTATGGGGTATGTAGCCACTTCTGGCTGCACTAGTGATCCTCAGAAGAAAGACACAAGCTCAGAAGCATTACATTCTTAGATCAAGGCATAGGCAGAGAACCAGAGAACCACTAGAATACTTGCACTCACCTCACGGCCACATTCTTGATAATGCCAAAAATTCCCCCAAAGGTCATTTCCTGAAGGTTGCAAATTATTGTGCAAGATGAACTCAAAACTTTGCTAGGTCTCTTATGTAAAAGATAGGTCCTTATTGCAAAGAGTAAGCTCTGAAAATTGGGGAAAGGGACATTTTAGAGGATTTGGGTGAATCTGAGTCCTTGGAACCCTAAATTCACAGGACTTGGCACTTCCTTGCCAGGAAAAATGAGCTCCTTTTTTCAGCCTATCCTTTCTTTCCTTGTTAGCAGATGGCATTGATTCCATTGAGCCCATTATCTAGCAAGAGGTTCTCAAGTTTCTAAACCCAAACCATACTGTTGCTGACTGCATCCAGACCTTGGAGGATACCATCTCTGTTTACCTTTAAAAGGTAAGAGAAATGTTTTGCTTAGCAGTTTACTGCAATGTCTATAAAAGTTGGTTTCATGGACAGTTAAGTTGGTATGAAGGAGGTAGAAGAAGAGACTTGCTTATTAGTTTGTACCTGTGCTCACATGAGTTAAAATGCAACTCTGGTGGGGACTGTTGCTTTTGATAAATCAATAGGTTTTAAATATTGTAATTTTTCCATAACATTAACACAATTACATAAACTAGAAATGGCAAGGACAGAAATAATTATTTGCTGATATCATGTGGACATGATAACTCCTATTTTACTAGTATATGGAGCATGACAGTGCAGGGATTGGAATAAAGGTGAGCTGAAAGCAATCTACAAGTTTTTCTGCACTTTCCAACCTCCTATTGATGCAGAAAGGACACTGGAGGCCCAGTGGCCATGACACGAGTACAGCATTCTGTATAAAGTGAGACCATGTGAAAAGAAGGCAGATCTGCTGGCAGCTGTTTCTCAGCCTGTGATGGTCCCTGTTCTTCTCTGGAACTGGTGTTGTAGCTCAATAAGATTACTGCAAAGTGAGGTAGAGATTGATAACTTTCGTTTTATTTGCCGACTTCAGGAGCATGTACAATATAAGTAATAATAGGTACAACAAGAATAATGATGCTAATTATATCTTGCATTTATTGACTACATGCCATGTACTGAAGTACTAAGTGCTTTGCAGGTTTTAGCTCATTTAGTCCCAATGGGCCTATAAATGAAATACTATTATAATCTTGAATCATAGGTTGTTTAAAAAAAAGAATTCATGAGAGGCAAATTGCCAGCTAAAAATCACACAGGTAGTTAATGGTAGAGCTAGTACTCAAACTTAAGACTTTCTTGGTGAAAACCCAAGATTTTATCCACTCTATTGATAAAGTATAACTCTTCCAGCTTCTTTCTGCTCATGTCTTAGCGCAGCATTTAGGCTACTCACGTAATACCATTTACAGGATGCCTTTAAAATGACATTTATTTTCCCACAGTTCTGAAGGCTTGGGAAGTCCATGATCAAAGCACCTGAAAATCCCATGTCTGGGGAGAGCATGATTCCTAGTTCATTAATGTGCACTTGCAGTGTTCTCACAAGGTAGAACATGCAAAGAACTCTCTGTGTCTTTCCCATAAAGGTACTAATCCCGTTTATGAATGCACCACCCTCATGACCTAAAAATCTCTCACAGGCACAACTACTATCCCATTAGCAATTAGTTTTCAACATATGGGTTTGGGTGAGGTGGGGTACAAAGCACTCATTCTGCAGTGGCACATGTGGCCCGATGCCCTGTGTATTTTATCTGTTAAGTGTCTTTCAAATCCATCCACTGTTTCCACCACCATCATTCTAATAATGCATGCCATGATCCTTTTCTAAATGATCATTGCAGTACCTTCCTAGCTAGTCCATGATCATAGATTCTGGCCCCAATTTCTAATCTGTCTTCTACTTTATAACCAAAGGGAAAATTTCTGAGTGTAAACCTAATTATGTTGTGCCACCATGAGACCATATGAGAAGACGACTTCAATGGCACAATGTAAAGATACCTTGAAGAGCTCTGTGTTGAGCCTCACCAGGGCCATTGCTCCCCACACTTGCTGCCTCCCCACCCTTGCATTCTCCTCTGCAGACAGCCACATGTGTCTTAGACCACCAAATGCCCAATGCACTTTTCTTCTCCAGAACCTGTATGCATGCTCTGTCCAGCGCCTGCAGTACTCCTCCAGCCGCCAGCTTCCTTTCACCCAGTTAATGTCATCTTCCCATACATCAAAGCTCAGGTGTCTCCCCTGAGCAAAGTCTTCTGATTTCTGAAATAAATTAATTCCCCTCATTGAAAATTCTCATAACAACATTAGCCTTTTCTTAGAGAATGGGATTTTATAAGTATTCATGCGCTTCTCTGATGTCTCTCCCTGGCTGTACCATAAGCATGGTGAAGACAGGAACCAGGTGTGGTTTTGCTGACCTTTGTGACTCCTGAGCTCAGGGCAATATTCGGTATATGCCAGGTGTTTTTGCAGTAGTTAAGTTAAATTTAAAAAAGCAACAGAACCTTTCTGTGGGGGAGTGTGCAAAAGGCTAGCCCTTCTAAATGTCTAAAATGTGCTCAGTATTCTATGGAGGATAAGGCTGACCCCAGAGTGGAAGCCGGGCTCAACAGGGAACAATCCCAGCCAGCTGTGCCCTCCCTGCTCCTGCCTATCTGAGGCTGACAGGGCCAGGGCAAGGTTAGCTCTAGTCGAGTTCAAATTGGCTGGAGAGGTGCTGCAGACTTACACTTCAAGTGGCCCCATCTGAAATGAATCAGCCCAGCAAGCAGCTATTGAACACACAGAATATCGAGTTTGTAGAATTTCTTCCTACCTCGTCTTCAAGAGCCAGTGGAGTGGACTGGTTCTGAGAAGGTAGGGATCGGTGGGAGTGGGGACCGAGACAGTACAGTCTGTCCTTCTGAGCAGAAAGCCAGAAGTATGGACCTGGGTTTGGTGTCACCTGGGCAGAGATAACATGCTCACCAGAACACTGGGTTCTCTCTGCACACCTAGGCTCTAGTTACCCTCATGAGGGGTTCTGGGCAGCCATTGCAAGTGTTGCCCTTTGGTAGAAATAGGGGTGGACGTTGACAGTGACCCCAAACCGAGACCCCCACCTGCCAGCCCCAGACTCCTGACTATCAAGTCCTGCAATTAGAGAATCATTCCTTGGTCTCTAAAAAAACCATAAACTCAAAGTGAGTGAAGACATCAGATTGTTTTGCCCGAATTGTTTCAGACATTATTATGATTATAATCGTAATTTAGTAGAGTCATCGAGAAATGAATTTGAAGAAAATGAACAGCTAATAGTGGGAATGTTGGCTGCACGTGAGGGAAAGGCAGGAGGCAGAAAGCAACTTCATCCTTTATAAACTTGTTCTTCCATAAATTTAAGAAATAAAAATGATTGTATCTCAATTGAAAATTCAGAGGATACTTATTTTTAAAGATTATTACAACACAGCCTCAATTATTTTAGCTGCAGTAATCCTGTTGGACTTGGACCTTATTGTTGATAAAAAGAGACTATGTTTGACTTTGCTTGGAAACCATAAAACCACAACAAAATAAATTCTCCTGAATGCTACCAGGCAACACTGGGATCTCTTTTATACCAAGATTGAGAAGGACTTGTGGTAAAGATTCACATGGCCCCACAATAATGTGTATAGTTCCTCTGAAGAACTTAAACCTCTCTCTCTCTCCCCCCCCCCCTTCCTTTCGCTTTTTTAAAGAATCATCTTAAATACGATTTAATACGATTCAGGTGTCAAATACGTTCTCAAGAAATGTAAGCTGTATGAACAACAGCAACAAAACATAAAGGTTGACTAATCTCTCTCAAATCGTGTTACTGAATCCACAGCTTCAAAAGCCTACTGGTAAGATCTTCCTGGAGGCCAAGGAGCCAGAGGAATGCGCTCTTCGACCTGCTTCTCGTCCTTCCTGGGACCATCAGGGGACTTCTTGGCCTTTCAAGACAGGTTCTGCTCAGAGAGGCCAGCGGTGCGGGGACGCCCTGGGCAAAAGTTAGCCGCCAGGGCAGCTGGGCTCTTCTGGGCTCGGAGGAGGCGGTCCCAGCGCTCTGGGCCGTCCCCTCCCCACCTGCGCCCCTACGAGGGACCCGTGCAAAGGCCCGCCAAGAGGGCGGTCACCGAAGGACTTGGCGGCTCCAGAGCAGCGAGAGCCAAGCGTCGCTCCGGGTTAGGTAGGGGGACGCTGCCAGCGAGTCTCCAGGTCCCGCCCCCAGCTCTGCTGGAAACAGGCGCATCCCGGAGCCCAGGCAGCGGGGCTGGGCAGGGGGTGTGGCGGCCCAGGGGTGGCGCTGGGTCCCTGCTGGAGGCTGAGCCCTCCTGGGAGACCTTCCCTTCTGACAGGAGCAGAAGCTGCCAGGGGAGGGATGGGGGCGGCCTAACCCCCCAGGGTGCCGCCGGGGGAGGAAGCAGTCGCGGAGCGAGGTGGTGTGTGCGCGCCAGCCGGGCGAGCGCGGGCCCGAGCGGGGCTGGGATTGTTGCCCTCGGTCACCGGGGCGGCCGGGCTCCCAACAGCCTGCAGACCGCGCCCGAGCCCCGGTGACAGGCGGGGGACAGCCCCGCACCCGCCACCCAGCCGAGCCAGGAGGAGCAGTCGCCTGCTCGCAGCGCCTCGCGACTGGGAACGGAAGAGGCCGACTGAGAAGGTAAAAGCACAGCCCGAGAGAGACCTGGAGAGAAACCGGGGAGAGGCAGGTTCAGGACGAACAAATTGCGGACACATTGCAAGCAAGTTTGCGCTTGCATGCTGAGCTCTGCGGGCTGGGTGGGAGGAAGAGGGTGGCGGTGGTGTGTACGTGTGTAACACTCGCGGACAAGGAGGCGGAGGGTGGAGAGGCTCTTTTCAGCTCGTATGTAGACATCCCTGTGGATAACCAACCCCTCGGAGCTGTCATTTCTCTTCGTGGCACATCCTTGGCTCCGGTGATGCAGAACGAAAGCAGCCACCTTCCCGTGATGGTCGGTGCGGTCGCTACTATCGGATGGGAAATGCAAGGGGTTGAGCAGATTCTAGGAGCCTCACTTCCTCCACCCTCGGTCTATTTTAGGAAGGGCCGGGGGAGGGAAAGTGGGGAGCAGAGCCGAGGGCTTGAAGGCTGCACGGAGGCCCAGGCGACCCCGGCGCCGTCAGGGTGCAGTTGCACTGGAGGGCAGGGTAACTTTCGTCTCCACTTGGGAAAGGCACGTTTCAGGCAGATCCTGCGCCTCTGAGGGGCAGTTGTAGGAAATGGTGGTGCAGAGGGCAGCAGGTACACAGCACAGGGCAAGAATGTGGTGCACAGCGCAGCAGCAGGCCCGCCCTGGAAGGAGAGCGCCAGAGGAAGGGAGGCCCGGGTGCTGACTGGGATAGCAGTGTTTGATGCTCAGGCCTCCTCCAACAGTCAGGTGCAGGCCCTGGAACGAGAACCTTAGATCCCCGGAATGTTCATTTCTGAGCTTTTCAGTTTGGGATAGAAAACTTCTGTGGATTTGATTTTTTTTTTTTTCTGTGAATGTTAAGAAAGCCCAGAGTAAATTATTTTTCTCTTCTTTGATGCCGATTTAGTTTTGCCTTGATTTAAGAACCACTCTCCTAGACATAATTTGTATACAGAAGCTAGATCTATGCAACAGAAAGCATAATAATTTTTCTATCATCCAAAGGTTACTGATTTGACCTCCCTCTGCATAAAGTGCTGACTTAATTGTTAGTCATGAGGATTGTTCATTGTAAGAGGGTTTTTTATTCCTTATGTTGAAAAAGATTAATAGTATGGATAAAAAGTCCTAACATCATCAGAACAATGTACTGAAATCCATATCTATTTTTCTGTTTATGAGTCTGTTTATTACTTTGTGGTAGATTTAGAACAAAATGTACCAGATCACTACTAACTTAATATGTTTCATGTTGAAAAAGTAAAAACACATTTGCAGACTGACCCTGATTATAACATTGCTAGCCTTTGAGAAATATTTGCTCAACTCCCACATTATAGCTTCACTTTTATCTTCCTTAACTACTAATGCTTTCTTACAAACCACTTTGCTTCTGTTCTCGTTTTCCCCATACAAGAACTCTTCACTGGATTACTTCCTGCCTGGAAGCAGGGATTCACCATTTGAACATTTTCTAGAACCTCTTGGTGCTCCACTGGGACCTGCTTTGCGTTATTTGTGCAGTACACATAGCACCTTGCAATAGCAGCAGTTGCGACTGTAACAGGAAGTTAAGAAGCCCATAGTTGGGCAAGAAAAGGTCATTTTCGTGGCTCTCGCTACTGCGGCCACATCCCGTGGGGGGAATGTGACTGGCATACAGGGCCCAAGACTCCTCTTTGGGGCATTTGTGATTCTTCTCTCAAATGCGTCCTTCCTTGTGGGCTAATCTAATAAGAACTAATGAAGGGCAAGGAAATATATATTCAACCACAATGTGGAAAGAAGGTGACAGATATCTTTCAGTATACTTTATACTCCAGGATCAAAAAATATTTTGAATCATGACCTGTAATGATTGCATGCTGCTCTGCTCTATAATTTCTGTTGTGATTACTTGCTCATATTCTTGTGTTTCTAGAGAAAAGACTATTTCTTATTATTATACTGCATAATTCATAATAATGAATAATTAACAGCATTATTCACTGATTACCTGTACACATATATAAGTAATATGTTTGTATCAACCCCAGAATGTTTCTATTCTTTTCTACATTGTTAGCCATTTTAATGTTTATTTACTAGTGCCACTATTAAAAGGTGAGTAGAGAAAATAATTAAATGAGACATTTATGTGAAATCACTCCAGTGAAAGACTTTAAGTGTGTGGAAATGACTTTTTAATTCTTACTTAATAGTAAATTTCAATTTAATGCTTTATTGTGTACATTTAGACATTCAATTAATATTCATACTTCCTACTGTTGTGAATCTGTATGTATTTATGGTCTCCTTTCTTTTTTTGCTGTTGCTTCAAATGGAAATAAGCTACATCAACCCTGGTTCTTTTTTTAAAATTAAGTTTATTGGTACATTTTAGGTATACAATATGATGACATTCGTCATTGGGAATTTGTACCTTTACATATTATATCTTGGTTCTTATTTTTCCCCATTCCCCTGCCCTCCCTTCAACCTCTCCATACCTTTCTATTTACAAAGACTTTGCTTCCATTTTTTCCTTTTCTCATATTTTTTCCTTTCCCTTCCTTCCTTTCCCCTACGCCTCCCACTTCCCCTTCCCCCTTGCACTTTTTCTTCCTATTTACATTAACTATTATACATTTTGATCTGTATTTACACTTTCAGTTTCTCACACCAGAGAAACTATTACATGTGTGTCCTATTTATATCACTGAAGAGTATGGCTTCAATGTGCATCCATTTAGCAATAAATGTCTCTAGTTTCTCATCTTTATGACTGAGTAGTACTCCATTTTATAAAAAAAAAGAAAGAAAGCACATCTTTTTTATCCAGTCTCCAGTTGGTGGGCAATTGGGCTGTTTATAAGATTTAGCTATTACAAACTGTGTCACCATAAACATGGGTGCACATACATTGCTGTGATATGATTCCTTTAATTCTTTTGGCAAGATACTCAGGAGGGGAATAGATGGGTCAAATGGTACCTCTAATCCTAGTTCTTTGAGGTATCTCCATCCTAATTTCCACAGTGCTTGCACCAGCCTACACTCCCACCAGCAGTGGAGCAGGGTTCCTCTTTCCCCACAGTCCTGCCTGCATTTGTTATTGGTTGATTTCTTGATAGCAGCCATTCTTTCTGGAGTGAGATGGAATCTCAGCATTGTTTTCATTTGCATCTCTCGAATGACCAGTGATGCTGAACATTTTTTCATCTGTTTATTTGCCATTTCTACTTCCTCATCTGAGAAATGTCTGTTCATTTCAGATGCCCATTTTTGGATTGAGTCTTTAAATTTGGGAGGTTTGATTTTTTTTTAAAGTTTTTTATATATTCTAGATAGTGGTCCTTTGTCTGCGGAACAGCTGTGAGTTATCTCTTCATTCTGTTGGTAGTTTCTCTTGCTCAACCCTAGTTCTTGCAGGGCTTGGGATTTTCGTGTGTAGTTTGCCAATACCTAAAAATTTAGTTGCATTGCTGTAAGGTGTGTCCTTTTTTTTTTTTTTTTCCTCCTACCGGGGATCAAACTTGGGTCCTTGCTTTGCTGGGCAGGCAGTGGAACCACTGAGCTAAATCCCCGGCCCTGTAAGGTGTGTTCTTGTGTCCAGAAGAGTTTCCTCTAGTACTTTCCTTTGTTGGTTCCTTTCAGTCACACAAACAAGAAACTGCTGAGGTAGCCTATTGTCCATTTTGTGTAGAAACAGGAAAAATCGAGTTGTGACATGTCATGACTGCTTTTCATAAGTGTTGGTGTTAAGAAGTGAACATCATTCAGCTATTAGGATCCCAAATAGCACAGAGTCAAACTTCCCTTTGTATCCTGCACAGTATATGATGGTGTTCTGTTTGTTCCTCTAGAGGTCTAGACCTCTTCTAGACCTACAAATTCACCCTACTCTTATGTAGTACTGTTTATATCATCTTCCCCTTGTACACAAACTGTCTTGTTCATGTTATTTTCCTGGCATATACATTGTCCCTTACAGTATTTTCCAAGTTCATATTTTCTGTGAAACAATAAATGCAGACATCTTACTCTTCTGCTAAGTATGGTAGATATATTTAGCTGAATCATGTCTTAGTTCCTTCTTCTGGAAAGACTTGGAAATGGTACAGGGGCTATCAGTTGGTATGCAGTCTACTGAAATCCACCCAATTCTTTCTTTCCATCCAGTAACTGGCTTCATCTGTCATTACTTTACCCCTCATCCCACAGTGTCCTGTACCTATTGAAAACTCTTTTGATCACCCTGGGAATAGTGAGCTCATTGATGGTGCTGAATCTTTCTCTGGTGATCTGCTTGTGTAGGTCATGTCCACCACCAGAGCACTGTTATGTAACCAGGCACTTCAAGAATCTCATGATGTGGACTAATTGTTTTAGTTGTCATTCCTGCTGCCTTGGTTTTGGAACTATAGCGCACTCTCAGAACATCTTTCCACTTCAGGGTCATTTCTTTTACGGCAAATGGAGAAACCAAGATATAAGAAGAAAAGTAGAAGACAGTGATTTGCTGAAACTGAACTACGCGTCATGTTTCATATTATCTTTTCATTAATTTGTGTATTTATTTATTTATTTATTTATTTATTTGGAGGTGCTGTGGATTGAAACCAGGGCTCTGTGCATATTAGGCAAGTACTCTACCACTGAACTAATGTCCCCAGTCCCCTATTTACCTCCTTAAAGTTTATTTTAATAGGAGTAAAATTAAATCTAATTTAATAAATAATAAAAATAATTTAATAAATAATAATAATAAATTTAATAAACTAACATCATTTTACTGATGAAGAAACAAGACCTCAGGAAGGTTTACATTTCTTCAGATCACAAGAACAGTAAGAGACAAAATTAAGAGTCACCTAAGGATCTTTCTTCTTCCAAAGTCTGCATTTCCTGGTACCATACTCCCTCTGATAGGCAGTTACTGAGGAACTTGGTACACAGAACCAAATCAAAACTACCCAACTAGTTGGGGCAGAGTTAAGTTTAGAACTCATATCTTCTAATTCCTAGTCTTCTTTATTATACTTTTTATTAATTTGAAGTTTCCTATCAAATCATATGATAGTAAATTAAACTGCTAGTAAAAACACCAAGAAAATCATAATTTTACCATGTAGGATATATCTGCGTACATGAATGATGAAAGCAAAATGGTTTATCTAAACCTGAAAAAGGAAGGATATTGCCTCAGTTTTTTATGGTAGGGAGGGGTTTTCTCATAGATGTGAAATATGTAGTTAACTTGATTAAACATAAAACATTTTGAGGGTGTAGCCTGTGCTCAAAAATATACTTGTTGTCAATTTATTAAAGCAATAAAAGTTACAGCCCCTATACTAGTGCATAAATGGTCACAGTCTGATTGGAGTGAGATGGTAATGAGGATGGTGAAGAATATAAGCCAAAGTGAACTCATCCTAGTGTGCATTGTTAGTGGTAGCAGAATCATGGGAAGACTGTGCTGAGTGTGTGCTGGTGTGTTTAGGGAAAGCCTCGGGTGGGATAAGGGTCCTGGGTCAGGAATGTAATGATGCCCTGGACTTTTCAGCTGGAAGTGTTCCACAGAGGGTGACGTAAAGGAATAATGAGGAAATGGCTCCACAGAGTTGTTTCAAAGACATATGGAAAAATACAGTATTTGAAAGTAAATCTCATGTAGTCTCTCTTCTGCTGGGCTGCAATAAGGGTGCCATGAATCCCGAGCAGAATCAGAGGCTCCTTAGGCTGTCATGTTCATGCTGGAACTCCATCTCCTTCCACTTACCTCTCACCTGCCCGCCTCCATCCCAGTCAACTGATTATCAAATCTTACCAAAGTTTCTTCAACTTTACCTTCCACTCTGTTTCCTCTCTCCGATTTCAGTCTTTCATCATCTCCAGCTAGGATTTCTAAGACACCTTCCTCACTTATTTTCCTGGATCTTCCCAGCCTGACTGACTCATATAGAATCCAAATTAGATCTTTAAAATTGCTTCTATCAATTCAAATTATATCTTCTCACTTTGAGTCTAATGTCCTCAAATTTCTTGTTGCCTCCTGGAGAAACAGGGCCACCCTCCTGAGCAGAGGATCTGCGCCCCCTACCATACCACTACTACTTCCTCCAAAACAACACTTGGCAGAGACCTTCTGTACCTAACTGTTGATGGATCCACATGCAAGTCATGCTGTTTCTCACCTCTGCCTTTGTTCAAGGGCATCCCTCTGCCTGTAAAGCATCTTCCACATATTTTACCCGACTAATGATGACTCATATAGTGGCACTCATTCCTGGCATTTCTGTATTATCTTTTCTATATTGTGTCTCTCGCAGTGTTCTAAGCTCCTCAAAAACATATTCTGTGCCATATTCACCCTAGTAGTCCCGCCACTGAGCTCAGGCATGCAGAATGTATTGGTTGTGCTATGCTGATAAGACTGTATGCATTCTGGACATGAGCAGGGAAGTTTTGAGTTTAATGAGGAAGGATGAAAAGAGAAGAGGAGAGGGCAGAGGAGGGAAGGAGGGGAAAGGGGAGGAGAGCAAAAGGGAAGAGAAGAGGGCTAATGTCTTGTGTGACATGAATGTGATCTTGAAAAAGGTCTGTTATGCAGTAACTTACAGAAATCCCTTCTAGTTGCATAATTCTTGACTGAAGGGGGGCATATCCTAATCATCTGTGAACTCCAGTACTGGGTAGAGCCAGGTATGGGATTGAAGTGAATTTCTGTCCTCACCTCTACTTAGTATGGATGCAAATAAATGATAACAATGGAAAAGATATATGGATAGACAGACACAGACAGATTTCAGAAAGTTATGGTCTTGAATTTGCATAACATAACTTTCTAACAGCCTAGAGGAGCCCGTTGTAAAGTCTCTCAGGCATTTTTCACTCTCTGAGTCTTTCAAGTTAAGGCAGCCTTGTATGTGGGCAGGTGAGATGTTTTTTCCTAGGAGATACAGGCTGCTAATGGGCACACAATTATGTCAGAGCTATAGACCACAAAGTACAACAGCCCAGCCATCAGTAACATTTCCCCTAAGAATTTCTTGGGGATTCACCCACAGAGAGGTGACTCTGCAACCTAGAGGATACCAATACTGCGTCCCACTTCAAGTGAGTATCCCTCCACGTAGTCAGGAGATGCCTTCTGCCACCTTCTTACACCTGACACTATTCAACACATCCCTGCACCCTGACTAGCAAAATGAACAGCTTGTGAGGCTTTCTTGCTCCAGCACCTCCTTTTTGATGCTGCACAAGAGTCAGCAGCAGTATGCAATGTTTTGGGTCTATTTTTTTTAGTCCTTTAGAAAGGATATTTTCTGCTTTGCATTCATGCATTCTGACTAGAGATTAAAGTATGAATTATGCCATTTAAAATCAATTGCAATTGGTAAAAACACTCTATTACTTCTCCAATCCTTCATAAACAATACTGCCTTAAGGACCATATATTTCAATAATGATATAAGTTTTATAATATTCATAAACTCCTCATATTTTCTTTTCCTTCGGGGAAGTAGATTGTCCCACACATGTATCATATGCTTGGTTTAGATTTGCTTTTGCCACTCTTCTTTTTCCATTCTCTTCTTTCTCCATCATCATCATATTATAGAGAGTTAATGAAGAGTGTAATAATGTGTCACTTTCCCATGGGCCTCCTCAGTGTGGCCTCATGGTTAAGCTTCTTTCTCTGGCTGTATTGTTCACCCCTCTCATCTTTAATTATTTTGTTGATGGCAAGACTTTCTGTTCAGCTGAGTCTAGGGATAAGAAGACTTTGTTCAAATTGCATTTCTCAATGTCAAGATTTCACCAACTCACCTACCACTTTTTTACCACCTTAGTCCAGAGCAATTACACTTGACCAAAGTGGAGAATTCAGGAAAATGTTAAAAGGACAATGTGCTCTCTGGTTAGTGCTCGCTCCCTCCCCAGCCTTACAAATTACTTTAGAGTCTTTCTGTATAGGGGGAAGAAAACTAAATTAGATTCATTTTGTCTTCTACAGTTAGATTGTCTGAAAGTCAGATTTCCAGAATAAAATAATTTTTACTTTTATACCATTTTAATTAATTAAATTGTTATTAGGATCTAGGATATGATCTCATTCCTAAAAAGTGTGCAATGAAGTCCAACAAAATACGTGTGCATAAAACTAAAATAGCACAAATAACAGAATCTGTGAATACTGAGAAATAGAACTTAGTGTTTTAAGTCATAGATTAATAAAGTTTATAATTTGAAAAGAAAACTTAAAATAAATATGAGCATTTCTCTTTTTGCCAATTGATTTTGTTTTATGGTTGATCAAATATCTAATTTCTAACACATGCATAGTACTTTATAAGTGTTTTCACATTAGTCACTTCAATTAATAATGAATCAGGCTTTCTAACTGAACAGAGTTCTTTTAGTACTATTGTGACCCATGTCGATATTTTGTAATATTTTACTTTTTCTGTTTTTTGTTTTTCAGGTCCTTGAGCTTACTGAAGAGAGTAGTCTTAGGGGAAGTAGTTCCATCCGTGGGAATGCGGTCTCCTCCCCGACAACTGCGAGTGCCTGGGATTCATTTGTGATGTGGCAAATCTAGGAAAGTTCCCGCATGTTTTCCGGAGTGGCATAGACCTCCGCCTAACTGGGAGGAGAATTTCCTAGCATTGGGTTAATGCTACACGAGGGGCCATGGCAGCCTCCCGGGCAGCCTCACGGTCTCCTCGGGACATTGCCAACGTGATGCAAAGACTGCAAGGTAAGAGCAGAAATTTTAGTGTGGTTTTAAAAAAAATATATGTACCTTAAATTCAAATACTAACTTCCACTAAAATTCTATCAAAGCTGCTTGGATTTTATTCAATTTTATGGAATTATAACAAAGAATTGAATGGATATCTTTTATTCTAATGTTTTCAAATGAGTATATAGGTGTTGTCTCAAGATGCTGTCCTCTTTATGTAGAGGAAAGACTAAGATATAGCCCTTTTTATGCTGTTTATGTCTGCATTAATGTGATCTTAAGGTTCTTTCAGGGTCCAGATAGGAAACCAGAGCCATTGCCAAGTGTACTGATGCTGACCATCAAGAATATCAGTGACAATAATGGCAATGAAAAGAAGCTCTGAGAGAGGAAATGACATGATGATGTTAGTGGTTAGTGCATCCCTTGCTGAAGCTATTTCTCTTAAAAATGAACCATCTTGTAGAAGAGAATCAACAGTGAAGTGTAATAGCAGCTCATAGGTGAACTCCCTATTGTGTTTTCTTTGAACATGTATAGTCCTTGAACCATAAAAATTATTATCACCTGTAGTTATATTACAGTGTGGCTTCTTTGTCATAATTCCAATTGGCCCTCCCCCATGCTTTAAATATATAGCTCTAGGATACAAAAATTTCCAGATTTAGAAGGGCTTTGCTCTCATGTCTGTCAAGAAAGCTTAAAATAATCTTATAGTTTGTCTTTAAGTTTCCTACCATCTCCAACAAGTTATCATTGTGGTTTTGGACTATAGTTATTATATGAATCTGATTTTTCCTATTATGGGAACCTGTTTTTGCTCACAATTTATCTCAAGTGCAAAGCAGTAAATTCCAGTTAAGAATTCTTGACTTTCAGAATACAGACAAAACTCTTAAATCTGGATATTCACGGTGCAGAATAGGCTCTTAGACATAGAAAATCAGGAGGTGGTTGCACCTGGATCAATTCCTCTGTGTCAGACCAGAAACCCCCAGGTTGACTGAAAGATTCTGACTCAAGTGAACACTTACTTCTGCTTATCTCTCCCAGGTTGACTTGTGACACCTCATTTGGGACTCCTTTCCCATTTATTGTTATGCAAAATACTTTTTGTTAAATAAAACAACTGATTTTTGTTGAAGGTACCAGTGTAGACCTTTTCTCCAATTCTCGATTGGGTCTGTTCTGCACCGGGGATCTTAGATTGAAGTTGTACAGTTGTACATCTGATTTGGGTAGATGGGGCACTGAATTTGGAGTTTGTTCCTCTGTGTTTTTACTGTTTGTCTCAGGGCAAATTACTGAATCATTTCGTACCTCAGTGTCATTGTCTACGAATGACAGAAAGGAAACAAACCTACAGGTTCCTTACCAAAGTGAGGGAAGATAATTCAGATCATAGAACAGGTTTTCCTGTGAGTTTGTTAAATGTGAGACTTCTCTGGATGAAGTACAAGCACATAATGAAGTAAAGGAAAGTGGTAAAGAGAACATTCGAAGGGACAGAATCAGAATGGACTGCTGTGCTCTAGTCACCCTACTTTTCTTTCTCTGTTGAAATGGAAGTCTTTTCATTCAGGGAAAAGTTACTGGTGAGAGAAGACTGGAGAGTACTGATGCCTCAGGATTTTATTTTAAATGTTTTATAATGTTCTATCATGTTTTTAAGTGAGTTTCCTTGAGAAATGTGTGAAGTCAAAGAAAGAGCTGGGAGCCTCAGCGCCTTCCCACTTCAGGCCCATGACAGTAAATGCCCTGTTCAGCATCTATGCATCTAAATTCTCCATTAACACAGTTACCCTCTGGCCTTGTCACTCCTAGCGTTTTGTCTTGAGGCTCAGTGAGATAGTACAACAGACTAAATCCTGGCATAAGGTGAGCAGTGAAATAGTCAAAGAAGAACCTTCTGATGAGAAAGCACAGCTTGATAATTTGTTGCAAATCATTTTTGGAACTTTTTTCTTTTCTCTTCTCTTTTTCTTTTTTTTCCCTTTGTTTTTCCTTTCTTTTCTTTTTGTGGTACTGGGACTTCAACTCAGAGACTTCTCACTGAGCTACATCCTCAGCCCTTTATGCTTTTAATTTTGAGACAAGGTCTTAAGTTGCCCAGAGTATATTTTGTATATATAGATTATTGATGGCCACAAATGTAACAAAATTGGCCACTGCTGCAAAATGAGACCCATCTCGTCTGCATCAGTGGAAGCCAGAGGAGATGGCAGGAAGTGCAGGTGATCTGACAGGTGTACCTTAATGGATTCATCTGTTGGTTCATTCCTTTGACTCCTCTGGCTAGGGACTGCTCTCCCACTCTGCTGCTCTCCTGCAGTGAGTTGTTGCTCCTTACTGATGTTCTCTGCTTAAACAAGGGCCAGCACTTCCAGACAGTGGAGACCTGTCATCTGTCAAGGGTCTTCAGAAGCCTTGCTTACCTGCTGTAATCGCCATACAGGTGAACACGATCCTAATAAGTCTAGGGCTGGCACTATTGCCTAGCTAATTAAAACAAATGAGGAAATTTATTTGAGAAAAGATAAACTTCTATTAGTGTAAATAGAACCACATTTGCTATTATCAAAGTTCAAATCCATAAAAACATTCTTCATGGACCTCTTTCTTTTGCCTGGATAGATAGTAACTAATAGTTTTGTTTTTCCCCCTTCTTGGGTTTTATTGTCATTTTAGAACCATTAATAACTAATGAAGAGCACTCAGCTTTAAATAATGGCAACTTGGCATTACTATCTTGCTTATTTAGTCTGCACATATAATTGTTGACTATTTTTTCTGCTTTTAATTTTAATTCCCAGTGCTAGGAAATTCAAGCACACACACAGATTGCTACATAATTTAGCTGCGACTGTAGCAGTTCAATACTTCAACTTTGCCAATATTTGTGCTTGTTTGAGCATAATGTTTTAGGCTGGGATCCTGAATTATGGATGAACCATCAGACTGCAATGCGGAGTTTCATTTGCTCATAAGAATAATGAATGTTTCTGTAATTTTAATCAATTTTAATAGAAGCTTAAAAGCAAATACAGGAAAATAGTATACTATAAAGATATTAATCTTTAAATGCACCTAATTAGTGTGCCTATTTTTTGCTTTTAAATGCTGAGGAGATCCATTTAATAGATGGCTTATGGAATCACTTTAGATTTAGGTCACATCTAAGAAAATAAATTTTCAGGTTATAAATTTTTAAAGATAATGACTATATTTGAAAGTTCTTTGTAAATTTTCCTAGTGCTTCTGAATAACATTTACTTAAAATATCTGTCGACTGACTTTTACTAACTACTTTTTATTTGAACATAATATATTAAACTTTGTGGATTTTTAGATTAGTATATCAGTGTTAGTCTTTGTATAATAGGGTGACTGATATCAATGCACACCATAAATGGCAGAAAAAATGCAACAGGGCAGTGTCATCTAGACTAGGTTAATAAAAACTAGCATTATCTGCAGCAAGGTCAAAATTTGATTTCTAAGTCTTATGAGTAGATTCAAGGAAAACCAAGAAAGATAAGTATTTTTACCCCTGGAGATATATCTATGAAATTTGTTGACTATTACATAAAAAATCATGGCCTCAAAATATTTTATGAAAAATTTAAAATCTTTTTTGGCTAAATAGAATATTTATTATAAGTTTATTGCAGCATAAAAGAAAGCCTCAAACTAACAAAAAATGAATAAAATAATAGTCAATAATAAAAACACAATTTTCTTTGTTGCCTGCCTCGCAAGCACAAAGTCCCAAGTTCAATCCCTGGCACCAAAACAAACAAACAAACAAAAAAACAAAAAAACCCACAATTTTCTTGTAGCTGAAAGTCAGTAGCTATGAGCACAGCTTAGAAAAGAAAACTTTGCCATATTCTAATTTTGTATAGTGCCTTGAGAGATTATGTTTTATACTTTATTGCTCTGGCTTAATGACCTTTCTTATGAAACCATAAAAGTGTGTCAAAATCCCATTAATTTTATTTAGGCTGAAATTTTCCTTTGGGCTTAATCTTTCTCTTCTTACATGAATGATATGTAACAGTACCTCAAATTTAAACTGACACAAAACAAAAATAACTTCTTTATATTTTGGAACATTATCATTAGATAAATAGTTGATGATAAATGAATAAATCATGGTCCTTCCATTAATTAACTGAAGATAAAATTAGTCTAGACATGTAAAAACAAAAGAAGAAACTTTTAAGTGGGTGTCATTCTATCTACTATAATTTTGAGAAATATCTGAATTCTGGTTTTGATCAAAATAGGGTTATGAACATAAAACCACTTTAAGGACATGCATTCTGCCTGAATGGGTGATTATTTTGACCTCTCAGATGTGTGCATGTTGTTCTTGCAAGAACAGTGCTCTGAACAAATTTTCCTTCCCAAGGGTAGATTCCATGGAGCATCCTTTCACATACTCTAAAGCCTTTACTTCTGTATAGTTCTCTGTCCTGCAAACCTTCTATGCACAGAGCTGTTCCATCCTTTTTGCTATATGGAGAAAGTGCCCTGGACCTTCTGATTTTGAGTGACCTACATAATATCGACTGTCAAATAGAAGAAGAAAACAACTAAATCAAAAATAGCAAAGGTTTACAAATGCCAACATTATGTCAATTAGTTCAGTGTAAATCAAATTGATTCAAGATTATATTTGTGCAAATATATTTATATGCAGTATGGGTAGAACTTACTGCGCCTGATATAGTGTGTGGCAGGGCTCCAAAAGGAGTAGTCTGAGCCTACTCATAAAATTAAACCATCCTTCATATCATAGTGCCTCAATGTGAGTTCTTTTTACTCTTCTTACTATTTGTGCAGCATAACAAAATTATTTCCCTGACCTTCCAATTAAAGTCTCGGTAAATTTCTTGGCCTCCTTATTGTGGCTATCTAAAGTGTCACTAGACAATTTAGTACTGTAAGCTCTCTCACACACGAAGTGTAATCTAACTATATAATGAATACATAAATTTTTAAAAAATTAT